GTCATTAGAAGGTACAGTAAAATGTTTAACGTGTTTACAATCTTAGTTTTGCGTGTTAGCATGCTAACGTTTGCTAATTGTCACAAAGTAAAGCTGAGTATTATCAGTTTTGCAGGTATTTGTTCATAAACCAAAGAACTGACTTCGGCAAGCGGAAAAGTAAAGAGATCACCAAAGTTGCTAGGATAAATTGTCTGGCAACCAAATCTGTACCAAAACGTGTGCAAACCCATCTTGTAAATGTTGAGATATTTCAGTTTGCAGAGTGGTGGCCTGACACTGCCATTCTTAAAAGTATGCCTACTGACAAAAATAAATACTAGAGTTATGTCCATATTCATACAAACTGCACAACAGAACAGAAAGAAGCACCATCACGATTAAAACCAATGCAACTCCAGGTCTTAAAGAAATAAACAACCTGATCATGGAGATGGTTTATAGAAAAACAATAGTTCATAATCAGATGTAAACATTCTTACTCTACGATAATACTTAAAACCTGATGCACCGTAGTGTTTTTTGAGGAAGCCTGTCAGAACATTTTCAAACAGATGTGCCCTTGCATTAATTATGGCACAGGATATTGGAAAGAAAGCCTTCAAATCCATAGTGAGGGGCCGTAACTACAGGTGACCTTTCTCTGAGATGAGTTTTGCCTCTGTGCCTCTGCTCTTAGTTCTTTGATTAGAAATATAACGGGAGCTTTCGACCATCATGAAATGCCTCCACTGCCTTTACGTAGCTAGAGTACAAATCAAATGAAAAACCAGTGACTAACTGTAGGTACACATTTACAGTCAGACATGTCAAAAACGCACACTTAAGCCCTATAAATGACAATTACAGTATGCATTGAGGACACACATTTACTGTACATTTGTTCATGCATACACACAAACAGTGCAGAGACTCCCTGCCTGCCATATATGATTTACATTTACTGGTTGAATAATCAGTTGACATGCAGCTCAGGGAATTCGATGCTTAATGAGGGCCTCTTCACATAAGCAGTTTGCCGGAGTTATCTTGAACATGAGGCCGCTGTCAAAATGTCAATGAATCTTAATTTGACTACCAATTTAATCAAATAGGGACCATTGATTGCAGGCAGGTTGAATGTAGAAATGTGTGCATCCAAATTGCGGTGTATTGGGGATTGATTTGGGAATACGTTACCGTTCTTTACAGGGTTCACACACATTTTTAGCAATGCATTTTCAAAACTTTTCCATAATATTTTACCCTATTCCCATTAAGTTGTTTGAGCATTTTAAAATAGGCCTTTATAGCCATCATAACTCACAATAATAAGACTCTTAAACCAGTGTGATATGCCCTAAGATAGGCATTGTAGCAAAAGCGCCTTTGGGTGCGTTCGTCAATAGCCACTACTTGACCCTTCATGAGTTCGTAGCGCTGTTGGAATATACTGTTCAGTTATTCAGAGCACCACACTCTCTGAGCGACGGAGCGTACTCTGGGCACTCTGTCTGAGGAGACGGAGCAGCAGAGTGCCAAGCTCAGTGACTGAAATGGCAAGGATCGTCCTAGCAAAATGCAACAACGTTCATTATTTCATACATAACACTCTATTTCTTCTAACAGCAGCGCTTTAATTTTTAGTGTAGAGCGTCAGATTGGATTTAGGAATGCACCCTACATGTCAGCACATACAGTACAAGAACAATGCTAGTCATCGTCTCCGGTGCCCACACCACTTCAGATGCTTATGTTTATGTTTATGTTTATTTTATTTGATATGGACATCACAGTAGCATTAGAATTGTAACATACATTTATGCACAAAGCCCAGATGCACTGTGTTAAGTGTTTGTAGCGAAATGCTAATTTACAACACCTGTCCACAGGAGGCTAGCAGTTGTCTCGCAGCTATACCAATGCTTGCCGTGCTGGTAGAAGAGGTAATGGTGAATTATGTAATACATAATATGTACCTACGCCGGCTGTCTGTTGAGCGGCCTCTTGGTTGTCTCAATGCTTTTTCTTTTATCATGGCTAGCCAGAGCCACTTCCCCCATGTGGACAATGGCAAATGTTTTGGTGCAAAGGCTACTAGGCTAGGGTCTGCCTCTCTTTTCAGCTACATATCATATTTTTTGCTATTGCAAAGCCATAAATTATTAAACACGCACTTCCTTGGCATTTGCGGATAAGCAAACTGTTAGCGTTTGCTAACTTTGCTAGTTTGTTAGACATTCCCGCCGGCAACTAGCTGTTAATTTCTTTATTGTTAATCCAGAGGAAAGCCTCTGCTCACTCATCTCAATGTGAATCTTTATTAGTAGATCATTAAGACCTTGATTAGGGCAATATTAGCAGAGATAATCAACATCAGGAAATATTTTTAGAGATCCAATATCCCCCACAAGCATTAAATTAAATAAAGGTTCTTGACTAAATTTTTTAGCACACTGGAAGCTTTTTCAAACCTATGAGGATTGTAGAATACCCTGTGTCTTCTTCTAACCAGCGATACTCCTCCCTTTCAAACAATTCTGAGCCTCCCTTTTATTCCTTCTCTATGCTCCCCACTTGTAGCAGCCATGCTGTGTCTATGACTGCCAGCTAAAGCAACCCTTTTGCCTAATGCCTCGTCATTGTCTCCAGCATGGGGTGGGGGTTGATTCACCGAACCCCCCCACCCCCCCGGCTCTCCTGCACGGAACAAAATCCGAGGAGGCGGTGAGGGATGCACAGTCACTGAGCTTTGTTCCATTTACAAACGATACTAGTTGAGGAAACAAAGTACGGTATGATCGGCCAGGTTTTATTTCCACACTTAAAGTATTGTGCAATACTAGCATAGGTACTTATATGTATGTATGTATGTAAGGCTAAAGCTGCAGAGAGGCCACACCAACCACACATTTCTTTCCACTTCAGTTCTCTTTCCACCCTCACAGTTTTTCACACCTTTACAGGACTTACAAATTGCTGTGAGAGGACCTACTTTTGGCTTTTGTGTTTCCACAAGAGTGCAGCTCCCACTTGGGAAGCAGCTGTTAATAAGAATGATACTCACACACGTATATACATTATTCAAGATAAACAAAGTAGTCATTTTTTTCTCTTTAGGAAGCCGACTTCCTTGCGATCTATAATGGAGTAGATATTGCTCGGCCTATTGATGGATGTCTCCTTCCCCCCACTTTGACATTTGCTTATCCTCGTCCGCATCTACCGCTATTGACGTTCGCTCTATCTGGACATCTTGCTAAGCTGTTTTGTCATTTGTCACCTCTTAAATAAAAACGGAGGAGGGGGGAGTTGTCAGTGATAAGACTTAATGATACCGAGCACATTGATGGTTTTATACAAGCTTGTGGAAAGAATATTGTCTGTGGAAAGCTTAGCACTGATGCTTTGCTTAATTTCCCGCTCTATACCTCTTATGGATACACTGAGCAATTTTATCCAGCATATTTCTATTTTTGCCACTAATAAGCAGGCTAAAGAAGACCCATTTTGCAACCTCCAACATGCATTCACTCATAACTGTGGCCAATTTACTGCAAATTTAGTGAAAGCAGGCTTTTGGTTTAACACCTTTTAAACTAATGTATTTGAAGAGCCCACTCCACAGGCTCTCCTGTGAAAAGCTACTATTTTCCCCAACTTACCCTCACCTCTCCACTTCTTAAATACAAACTGGTAACATCACACACATCCACATTAGAGCTGTTGCTAATAAAACACCCTCCGAGTGAGTTTTCAGGGTTTATACTTTGCCAACTCTCTATTTGTAGTACAGTAAATGCTGCGCTTCCTTGACATGCATTTCTACAAACACAGTCTGGCGTGGCTTTTCTCCCCATGAGGTGGAAGACAGATTCTTCCTTTCCTCCCTCCCTATTTCCTCCCTCCCTCCCTCCCTCACCCGGCTCCTGCAGAGAGGCTATTATTGCAGCTAATTATCTACAAATAGGCCCAATATGACAAACACAGCCCTGTACCAGTTCTGGCAAAGCGCAGGAATCAGTCTGAGTGGGAATAAAAGAATGAAAAAGAGGCGAGGAGAGGCAGACAAAGAACAGGACAAAAGTCACAGAGAAGAAAAAAAGGAAAAAAAATGTGAATCAGAGATAATTGAGAAGAACGTGATGAAGACACAATGTGGAATAAGACCGGAGAGAATGTGGTGCTAAAAAAGATATAAGTGGGAGGCAGATGGGCGAAGAAAGGCAGCGACACCAAAGGGAGACAGTATAGAAGGGACTAACACGGGAAAATGATCTTGTCTATAAAGTGTGTGACGGTTGTTGCCAATGGCAACTGTCCTGCGATGCACAGGCCACATCCATTTAGCTCCCAGCATGCCTCATGATCAGGGCAGCTCAGGGGTCTAAGGCTGTCTGTCTCATTTCCATAAAGAAACTCATTTACCAGGCGAACATTGAGGGCCAAGACGCATCAATGGGTGCTTGATTAGATCCTTACCGCTGATACATATGAATATTTATCAGTGTTCAATGAAAACACATTTACTCTCCTTTCATCCGGATCATCCTGAGTGTCCTCCTGCTCTCCACTTAATTCTTTCCAATGAATATGTCACAGGAGAATCAGGGCTCCAGACAAAGTGACAGCACTCAGGATAATCTGGTTATTGTTGCTCTGCTGTGATGATTAACACTTACTTTATGTTTCACGAAATGCATCATGCTTTTGTCTTGTGTTGTGTTTTATTTGCCATGGTGACAACAGCTCTTAGAGACCTAAAGGAAATGCACACGAGGTACGGACATCAACGCAACACGCTTAAAGGGATGTGTGTTTGGAATTCATTGCTGCTGCAGATTAGTGTTTGGCTGCACAACTGAAGCTGCAGGTGTGATCCGGATGCCAAGACAAGTTCTGTTCACAGAGTTATTCCTGTCCCATGTGCCCAAACACAGAGTACGCACACAAGCACACCCGCTCTTTTTCTTTTTACACACAGAGCTGAATAACAGATATTCTTAGTGAGGACAACTTACATCACTAACTCCAGCCTCCACTATCTTCAGGCCCGTCTCCTTCTCCAGCTGCTGCTTCTGTTGGACTGCACGGGAGACAAAAGCAGAGGAGGTGTTGAGTATGAGCAGTGGATGACAAAGTAGCAGATTTCTCCATTCCTGAGGCAAAACAAGTGGTCAGTGAAACTGAGAATGATGCAGTGGATGTAACAGCATGAGTCAGATGTCAAACTGGTCATAGAAAATGACCAGCCCACACACACACACACACACACACACACACACACACACACAAAAACACACAAAAACACACAAAAACACGTAAAAACATTCTTCAGGGAATGACAGCAAGCAGTTCTCTAGCTGACAGGAGTCTGTTGTGGCCGTTGGAGGAATGATATGTTGTATGGGTGGAGGGCCTATAATAGGTAAGGGTCCATGGCTATGCTAGCGGCTCTGTGAGGCTGTACTCATGCTGCTTCACACTACGAGCGACACAGCAACGGGCTACAAGTCATCTGAGATGGCAGCTGGTGACATGAAGTTGGAAATTGCTGCCCAACACTTGTCGCAGGCGTGAATCGCTACAAATCAAAGTTGAGCTGGTCTCAACTTTTTTTCTGCGCTCCAATGACGCGGTAAAACATCAACCAATCGTATTTTATTTCCTTCAATTTAAAACAAATGCTGTTATCTCGTTCCCAGTGCTATTTAATGACATAACTACTTCAACGAGCTCTGGAGCAACACTTTCTGATAATGTACCTGTCCACGCTTGGCTGTTTTGTCGCTTGGAGTGTGAACAATGCTTTAGGTACAGTGGTGCTTTCCGCTACATGTTAATCCCAGAATGTTAACATGCCGATGGATAAACTGGATTTATGGTTGACACAAGAGCTTAACGGTAGTAGGTGTGATTTATTGTTTATTGTCGGATTTCACCCGCTGATATCTCCAATGCAACACTAACACAGATGTATTGTACATGATCAGGTCGTATCAGGCTTCAATTTCATTCCCCTCAGTTACTGTGTTTACATTTACTTTGTGATACAAGAGTTCATGTATTCGTTGTATCTATACGTTGTGGAGTCGCAGTAAGCAGAACGTTTGCAGAAGAGATGACTTTGCAAGATGTGCGTTACTGCAAGCTGACCAATCACAGTTTTTGCAGTTTCCACATTCCCTTTCTGTAACAGCCGTAGCCCCGAAGTGTAGTTACATCTTTGAGGAGCTGCATGTCAGCTGCGGAGTAGCCTACGTCCTCACTGTGTTGGTACGCAGAAGAACAAACAAGCCTCAGCAGGTATAATGTTTACCATGTTCACCATCTTGGTTATACGTGTTAGTATGCCATTTACTAATCAGCACTAAACACAAAGTACAGCTGTCATTAGTTTTGTAGCTAATTGGCCTGAAAAATTTGAAATTGTGACCTGGTGATAGCGCTAAATGAAAAATTCAGGGATCACCAAAGTTATCGCAATTCATCCTCAGAGGGACATAAATGTCTGAACCAAATTTCAAAGCAATGCATCCAATAGATGTTGAGACATTTCAAACAAAGCCTCATGGTTCCACAAAAGGAAAACTTCGGAGGTCATCAAAATCGATAAGATTCATCCTCTGGAAACCATGAATGTCTGTACAAAATGTTGAGATATTTCAGTCTGGGCCAAAGTGGTGGACAGACTTTCATTTCCATCCATAGAGCCATGGTTGAAAATGCAAACATAATTTACCAATAAAAATTAATTGTTATCTTCACACACTTTGAGTCAGACCTGCTGAGATGAAGTGCTTATAGATTCACAGCACACAATAACTTGAGCTTCTGCCTTTGTTCTTGCAGTAATTAATACACCACCCGAGTTTGATCATCAGATCTATTGATCTAAACAAATATGGCATGCTATTTCCAAAGCTTTGTTCACGAAAGATTTTCTCATGCAAATCAAACCAAAGTGAGGCAATGTTAAATATCCATCGTTCAAGATCACACATTTCACCGTCTTTCTTCCCCTCCTGTGCTCAACGTCCCTTCCTCACTTTGATGGAGACATTTATATTGAAAAACAAAATCAAAGGGGCCTTAATAGATTATGCCAAATTATAGAGTGCAACAAAAAATGGAGCATCATTTTAATTGAGTTTGTTAGCATGTGAATGTGATTGGTAATGGGGAAAAGGGAAGAAAAGTGAGAGTTAAAGAGACGAAGAGAAAGAGAGCAGGTCCTTTAAATCCCATTTCCCCAGATGAAGGCTATGCAAATGACCCTGAAGAGCTGAACCCCACCTCACACTCCAAATTCGGCAAGGGCCTGTATAATTAGTATTTTAATCTATCCCAATGATTCCACTCAGTCCACAATGTATGCAGCATTCCATTTAATTAAGCACGCTACTTTTAGGATAATCATCCATCTCTCTCGCTCTTTCCTCTCTCCCCTTTTCTCTTTCTGGTTATTAAGGATCCAGAAAACATTGATCATCCTATCATCTCATCAACATGGCAGCGAAGGGGACATCTTACATTTGAGGTGTCAGCCAGGGGTTTCTGACGGATGGCTAAAAGGAGGATAAAGGAAGAGGCGAGAGAGAGCTGGAAAGGTCAAATATACATACACGTTTAAATTAAAGTGCCACATAAAAGAAGTAGCAAGAGGATAAAGAAGAAAATCTTCTGCCCTTATTGAGAAGGAAAGTCTTCAACTGGCATGTCTCAACTCGTTTTCATTTCATGTTGTCACCCCTGCAGTTAGTCAGAGACATATTGCCGCTCCATAGATAGCTACACTACCTGCACAGTCCTGGTGCTATTTAGGAGGGGGGTAATGAGCAAGGTAATTGGACCCAGCTGGGTGAGGGCGTAGGTGGTGGGGCGAGGTGAAGCCGCTAAAAGGTCACACAACGTTTTGGTCCTAATGAGAACCCCTCTGGGGTCGCAACACATCTCGAGTCAAACTACGAAAGATTAGCCTGGAATCAACACGCGGACACGTCATGGCGGATGCAGCTCAGGTTTTGACTGACAAGCTGACATTAACCATATTACGGTGAAACCAAAGAAGCCTGAAGGTCAGTATTTACTTGTGAAATCAAAGCTGAGGACTCTCCAATCAACCTGAGGGAAAGGACAGTCCCACAACAGCCACTTTAAATGTAAATACAATGTACTTCCCGGGCTCATTAGCCGGTAACTGGATGGATCTTGCGCTGCAGTGAGAATCCAGCCAATGGATTGCTTGTTCTGTCACTGACTGTACAGATAACAGCCTACAGCATCTCTTTCTGGTCACCCCTTATATTAACCTCCCACTGGAGCTCGCTCTCTTTCTCTTACAGACACTGTAAGCTTCAAATTAGCCACCAAATACTCCTGACAGACTGTGGAAAGGAGATGTCAGGACTCATTTCAGAGAGGCTCTTCCAGCCATTTTAATAGGCATTGTCTGAGTCTATCGAGTCTGACTTCTAATATCGAGATCTGATCCCTGCTGCTCATTTAATCTTTTCGGTTTCCGAGTCACATTGAGCCATATGATCCGATGTTCAGCAGGCAACAAAAGCACAGTAAAGGCCAGAAAGGCATTTGTGTTTAAATGTGCTCTATTTTCATGGGCTTACAATTGAAATGACATACACGCGCAACAGTTTCATTGGAGATTATAAATTAGAGAATTGCCTGATGACCTGGAACTATTCAATAAGAATTCAGTTAATGTGTGTGATTACTGTTTGGTGAATGAATGTCTTAAAATGGCGTATAACACAAGCATGTTTAATTAAAAATAATATAATTAAAAGGACTTCTGTTAGTAAATAACTAGCAATCATTCTGTAAGGGAAGGAAGCTGTTTAACTTCCAAAATAAAGATTTTCATGATATAAAAAGCTTTTATTGTATTCATTGTTGTGATTTTTTTCAACCATAAATTAATTTACATTGTGTAATTACTCTCTATAGAGTAGCTTTCATTGTTAGTGGCGGAGTCCGCCATTAACACACTGGATTCAGATTGTCTACCTGCACACCAGAGAGAAACAGGAAACGATGCAGCAGCACGTAATCCGGTGTTTTTTTAAATTTTTTTTATTTGATCTCATTGATATTAGCTTCATTCTTATTTCACTGAAGCAGCCAAAGGAAACACAATGTATTTGCCAGGTTAGCGTTGACCAGGATCGGTTATCAAAAAAGCATCTACAAAAATAAGTCAACAGTCATTTTGTGCATACTTCAATAGATTATTTTCAATTTTCCAAGTGTGTAATGGAACAAGATGCAGCAGCCAGAGTAAGCTGTGAGATGAAGAGTTTGCCTCCAACGTCTTAGCAAAGTAATCAACTCTACTGTGTCCTGCTGTTGCACGAAATCACCCGACTTCTTTATTAAAAAAAGAGTTTGTTTGGCTGCACCATAACCACATCCACCAGTTCCTCTTATGTTTTAAAAGTAGCCGCCCAAGGAGTGTTTAATCAGAAACACTTATTGTTATCACCAATAACGACGGGTGTCTCCAAATCAACCAGGACTGATAAATAAAACGAGATGTTTAAAGTAGGCCCTTTCATATGCGGTGCTGCTCAGTACATTTATCAAAAACTTGTCAAGAACTTGTTGAAGAGGAAGGAAGAAGAGGACGAAAAGGCCATTTTAATCATCAATCTAAAGAATCCTCCAAAACATTGTTGACTTTCCTTGACACTCACACTAATGAACTAATGAAAAAAACCAAAAAAAAACCACAAGCACACATTTAAGCTTGATTTCATGTGACCTTTAAATTGCTCCATAGCGTATGTGCTCAGCACAAATTATCTTGTGCCGAGATACAATTTGATTAAAATGTTGCTTTTCTCCGCCATATGCTGCAAACTGAAGCAATTGTGCTCTCCTCGTCATAGATTCTAATAGTGATTGAGAAATGATTATCATGAAGTCATCAGAGCTTAAAGTCATGAATATATATATATTCATTTTTCTGATATACGACAGGGTTGTTATTGTTAGAAGCAATATAAATTCAGTATCGGGAGACAAATCACCGTCTGTAAGCCGTAAGTATTTTGTATTTCAACACGG